ACATGGTGTGTTTTCAAGCTACTAAGTCTGGGACTCGAACCATGAAGTCAGTCATGTGAGACCCAGCCACATGATGGCTACAGCACTGACTGTCTCTATTCCTGTTTTAAAACAAGACTTAGGGGAACCAGCAGGTGACATGGTGGTTAGGGCACTGGACACTCCCACATGGGTAACCATGGTTTGAGTCCCCGACCTGATGGCTGGCTGGCTCGCTCTCTCTCTTTCTCTCTCTCGCTCATGTGTCTCACACTGGTCAAATTTTAAAAAACAAAATAAATGAATGAATCAATAAAATTAAATAAACAATTCTTTTAAAAAAAAGACTTAGCAGAAGTAAAATTGGCATCTTTGACTTAATACACAGTATTATGAAGTTAATACTATAGAAATTATTTCAAATTATTTTTTGAGTTATTTATTAATATTTGTCTTTGGTGACAGATATGGTTTTAACAGTTTGTTATAAATTCCCAAACATACTTACTTGGCTCCCCAAAACTAAAGAGACAGGAAAACTATTCTTCACAGACTCTTATTTTTCTTCAGTACTGTCAGTCTACGGGCATTTGAAAAATCAGCCACCTCTCTTACTATGAATTAGCTTGCATTGCAGACCCCCTCAAAAAGGCAGAAGTTGAAGGAAAGAAAAACAGAATGCATGACAACATTCATTAACTAATGGGTTCCAACTCTGGCAGAGTGTTGATCCACTCCTTGCTAATTTTTACACAAATTAAGTAGATTATTTAATGGTGCTATACAAACTTCACTAGTTGTATTTATTTATTATTTGACTTAGATGCCAGGCCTTGCTATGCACATAAGAAAAAACGTTTTAACAGTCTTAAGGTTGGCTAGAAAAATTATTCTTTTTAGAAATCATGTGTACGGTGACACTTATTTTATCTTTTTTTTTTTTTTTACATTCAATCACTGTGTTTCTTTACAGCATACCAAATGCATTTTCTCATCTTGAATACACTATATATTGGTCCAGTCAAACATATTATCATACACATTATGTTCAACAGATCATTTTTCATTTTTGGGTCCCTTAAATATTTTGCTTTTTTTCTTTTCCCCCTCGATTCCCTCCCTCTTGCCATCCCCCATCTCCCACCCTCTTTCCACACTGTCTCTAGTATCCACAGTTGCATTTATTGCTAAGCCAAGCAAGCCAGACTATGAAAAAGAGGCATTGTGTGTCCCCACTCAATATGTACTGAATGTCTGCACTCTGTGGCAGAAACGGAAAGATTGGAAGGTACGAAGACACAGAGGGCACTTTTAATTTCAATAGCTATGTCTCCACCAGAAAATGACTTCCTGGATTGAAAGCATTGAATTTTATCTTTGCAACTTAGCCCAGGTTGAACACAAAAATGCAGCACAGTTTCTGCATGAAAACTAGTCACTATTTTGAAAATTTAAACAAAATGAACTTAAATGATAAAATGTGCATTGGAATCAAATTCTGCCAGAATGGCTCCTCTAAGAAACATATAGCTATTATTTTTCATTGTCTTCTGCCAAATGTATTTAAAGCAATACCAAACCAAAACATCTCATTAATATTTCCTTGGCTCATTATTATGTCTAACTATATAAAATCGATATAGAAGGTGAATCTGATATTCCAGTTTTACCAGTGAAAGACGAAAATCACAAGTATTTTTTATGAAAGCTGTGAGTTTTTGGTTACTTGTAAAATCTATCATGAAAATGAAATACACACTGAGAATGAAATATGCTCTGACTTGACAACATTTTCCAGTAGAGAAAGTTTATTCTGTCAACACTATCCCGTGTCTTCTTTTTGTGGAATCTTTTAAGAGTGAGTTTTTTGGTATTTGTTAAGCCATATTCCAAGTCTGTATTTTTCTATGATCCTCTAACCTTTTCCCTTTACATTCTTCACTTCTATTCTGAAGTTTGTCTGAATGAAAGAGTTAAGTGTGCAATCTCTCCCAGAGTTATTGGTATTGTTAGTAAGGGAAATAGCCTTAAGCTAAAAAAAATAAATCATATGGCCTTTCAGGCAATGTGAAGATGATAGAAGGCATGCTGGGAGACAAGAGACTATTCTTCAGCTCCCTTTTACAACTCATAATATGCTTGTGCTCTGAATGGTGCTAAGAGTGGTTGTTTGTGGATTTTTAATGGCTTAAACATAGGACAGAGGCTTACTGTATGAATCCATTATGTGATCCTTTGCTGCCTCCATAGCTTCCAAGAATGAACTCTGATTTCCTTTCTATTTCTCATCCCCGTCCTTCTCCTACACCCAGCCAACTGGCAAACACCTCAAAATATTGACTATCTGTTCTAAGGTTGGTCTTGTCTAAATAAACAAACAAAAATTCCAAAGCATTTTACATTATCCTTTCCCGCAGTGAATGGTTCTTTAACAATTTGACATGCAAGATTTCCTATGCTATATAGATCAGGGACATTTTCTTATGTGGGAAAACAATTTGAGCATCAATCTTCTATACAGTTTTGAAGTTGACTTTATTTATAATTTATTTGTAACTCCATCATTAATACTCCCAGCATTTTACTGTTTTTCACAGACATTCAGTTTGGCCAAAAATTGGAGTTGCCTGATGTGCAGTTCCCAGCTGAGGTTAAACAAGGCAAACAAGGTTATTATTTAAGTTTTTCAATTTCATTTTGTAAAGAAATGTCCTTCTCATGGTCTATTTTGTGCCATATTTTTACATTTCTGTTACTTTGTTGGTGTTTTTATGGTTTAAAATAGCACCCCAGGGGGACCAGCAGGTGGCGTAGTGGTAAAGGCACTGGACCCCCACATGGCTGACCATGGTTTGAGCCCTGGACCCTGCCACTTGAAAATCACGCCAGGCATATGTGTGTGCATACCCAAAATTCCAAGAGGAGAATGGAAGAGAAGGGATTGTGGTGTAGCCGTCCCCCCTGGGGGGTGATTTCTCACTTTCCCTCTCACTATGTCTCTCTCCAGTGAGCACATGCACCCAATGACAACCGCCCCCCCAAGTATAGTACTGAAGTGTTCCTGATCTTTAGTGTACTGTCATGTACTCAAGTTGTCTAGTGTTCCTAAGTGCAAGAAGGCTTTGATGTACCTTACAGAGAAAATGTGTGTCTGATAAGTTTTCTTTAGTCAGAAGTTACAGTGCAGTTGGCTAGTAGTTTAATGTGACTTAATCAATAGTATCTATGAAATAATGTGTCTCTAAACGAAAACATCTGAAACAAAGTTATATATTGATTGAGTGCTAAAAATTTATGACCAGAGATTCATAGGCCCTACCTTGTAATGTCCCTAGGAGCAATGACTCAGTATTTACTAGTTTAGTTTTTGCAATGACTTTATAGACCATAAATACTGGAAATAATAAGAATTGCCTGTACATAAAACAGAAGCCAAAGCAGCTCTGGATAACATAGCAGAGGGCCATCATCTTTGTTTGTTATCTGTTACTCCACAATTGGTAGTTACCAAAGCTTCTATTTGGAACTTTGAACCTAGAAGTAATAGGGTTTCCAAATAAGAGTAATTGTCAGAGTGAACCCAGAGTATCAACTGAATTCCTCATTTTTCACCTGTATGACTGATGCCATGTAGATATAGCAAGTGCTTGCTCTGCAAATACAAAAGTAGCATAATATTAAATCAGCCAGGTCATCTCAAATAGGAAGATAATAAATGGTAGG